TTTTTTGTACATCAGATGCCGTATTGACTTTTAATGTGGTTGCTAGGCTTTTGGATATTACGAACGGAACTTTGAGCGGAGCCGAGGAACTCGGCTTTCTCCGGATGGCTGCGCAGCCTCGTGCTACTCCGAACTAGTTCGATCTCATAACCTTTTCGACCTCAATTCGCTTATGGAGTAAGAATTCACGCACTTGCCTATCTTCCTGTTTTTACTTCGTCATCTCCTGTAATGAGAAATCTTCTCGATTTCGACAACATCTGAATGTTGGATGCGGAACTATTCGGAAAACTAACGATTGGTCCTGCTCAGCAATCACCTCAATTCCTTAAGAGCAACGATTAGTTCCTCCCTCAGTCGGAAAGGATTGCTCATACTTGTTGTGCCGTATGCTTACGCTATTTATTCCTTGAGCATTCAAGCGTGAGCCAGCCTGAGCTCCTAGTGGGAATGGGGCCTGGATTTACAAATGAGGCTGTTGTTGTGCTGCTGTTGCTGTTGTTTAGTAAACGCTTCATCGACAAGTAGAGCTTTAAACTCAAGTTCTTCGACCTTTTTCAAATTCTCACTTTGTGATGGCTCAAGGCAATGCATTCACAAGAATAAACTCGTGTATGGTATATAGCTAATAGCTAAATTTTGCTACATCAGACATTTTTTCTCACATTGTGAATGTGAATCATCTCTGGAGAAGGTAAATGGTTACTTCGAAATATTTGACAATTGGGAGGTAAAAATTTACAGCTATGCCAGATTCACTGCACAGCTAATCTACACAGAATTTTCTGATCCAAAGCGTAATTGCTCTCGGATAATCAAACAGTTTTTGCAAGAGTTTAGTACCATGAAAAGATCCGTGTCTTTTAAGACGACGATTTTTTATAGCCAATGCCTCACATTTTCAGGCTGTAAGTGCACAAAAAAAAACTCGAAGACGATAGATGGAGGTGAATTTATATTAGGTCGGTCCGAAAGTTCGTGCCGTTTTTCAACCCCATACTCAAACCACTTACAAGGGATGGATACTTGGTCAAAGTGGCGTTTCCATACAAAATGTATACTGTATTATAGAGCATGGAACGCTGAGTTCAAACCTATTTTCGGTATCTGCAAAGCGCTTCTGTGAGGGGAGTTATGGAAATTTTTTGATGCAAAAATTTGAAAGCGCCGCTACAATAAAATCATTCAGAACCTTAGTCCGTGTTAAAATGGGGCCCATAATTGCTACCAGGCGTTTTATGGAACAACGCCTTCGATCTTATAAACTCATGTCAGTTATTACTCAATTCAAGCGCCAAAAAGACCTCAAAACCTTTTTATTTCAGCCAAATCATTGAATTTCTACCTGAAAAAATTCACATAACTCCTCTCCCAGAAACGCTTTGCAGATACCGAAAGATCTGGAATCAGCGCTCAATGCTCTATAAGATTATGAGCATCTTTTACGGAAACGGCACTTAAGTGCCGTTTCCGTAAAAGATATATAAGTATTAAGTATTCTATACAAGTATTCTTCCCTTGTTAGAATAAAGATAGATAAAAGCTGTAAGCACTATCCAATGCACAATTTCTGCATCTTTTTAACGGTTATGATTATGTTCAGATTCCCTCACTGCCCGCTCAAAATTCGGCAGGGATCTCCAACCCATGATTTTCACCCAACTTGAGTTTGGCTATATAAAATTCTCATATTCAACTTGGACTAGCTTTGACAACAGTTGGATAGAATAAACAACTTGCAATATAATACAATTTTTTCGTATCTTCAGCCAACTCAAAATTTTTTAAAATATTTTTCTGATGCCATCAAATTCCATATTTTGGCATTCCAATCCTCACAGAACAATAAACGACGAGCAACCAGGGTGTCATTCGATGCAGTTTCTTTTCTTGTTTTTGATAAACTTCTTTTCTTTCTGATTTGTATAATATCTAAAGAGAAAAGCATTGTAAATTTTGTTTTCAGAAACGTCCCAGGCTATAACCAGAAAATTTGGAATCCAACATTTCGAACCGCTATACGCCAGTTGCTTGCTAAAATTAGCGTTGAGTAAAGCTGTTTTGGGAGCCTCAAATTTTGAAAGTTTGTCAGTGTTTGAAGCGATTGTGTATTTCACGACTTCGCAAAAGTGAGGGCTTTTGGAAAAATTATTTTGAGAGATACCGAAAAGTTAGTTAGTGAAGCCAAAATACTTCATTGTATTGCATTTCGTTTAGTCTACCCAACTGTTATCAAAGCTAGTCCAAAAGTTGAATGTGGAAATTTTAAAAAATAGCCAAACTCAAGTTGCGTGAAATTCATGGGTTGGAGATCCCTGCCGATTTTTGAGCGGGCATTGAAGGCATCTGAACATAAACTTAACCGTTAGAAAGAGAAAAAAATTTTACATTGGATAGTGCTTACAGCTTTTACCTATCTTTATTCTTAGTGGTTTGAGCATTGGGGAAAAACGGCACGAACTTTCGCGCCGACCTAATAGATATGACCAGTTTTTGAGCAGGCACTTTTCTTTTCCTCCATTCTTAGGGTCGCGTGCATTAACATCCCCGCTGGGGAGGGAGCATAAATTAACAGTAAGGGCCGCATGCACTAACATCGCCGCGGGGAGGGGATCGCAGTTTAAAAGAAAGCTTTATATTTCGAAACTCCAGATACCTGGATTTCACGTTGTGTACCTATCCGTAAATATTCCTACTACCCTTCACTATGAACATGTTGAAAAGGAGCGAGAAGGTGTACAAACCGCATTTTCCAGCTTTTGTATGATCCCTGATGATGCCCGGCGCTTTTCTTTAAAGTCATTTTTCTTTCTCCGAAGTTAACGAAAAACCTCCAAAGTTGTACTGAACATCTAACACCACAGTGCTAAGCATGTTGCTGATAAGAACAAATGATGTTTTGAAGTCATGAAATTTTCGATGATCCACAGGTCGAAATTTGAGGTTTACCGAAAAATTCGACTTTTCAAAAACTCATTTGTTCTCATCAGCAACATGCTTAGCACTGTTGTGTTAGATGTTCAATACAACTTTGGAAGGTTTTCGTTAACTTCGCAGAAAGAAAAATGACTCTAAAGAAAAGCGCCGGGGATCATCAGGGATCATACAAAAGCTGGAAAATGCGGTTCGTACAGCTTCTCGCTCCTGTTCAACATGTTCATAGTGAAGGATAGTAGGAACACTTACGAACAGGTAGACAGTATGAAATCCAGATATCTGGAGCTTCAGAATATGAAGCTTTCTTTTAAGCTGCAATCCCCTCCCCAGCGAGGAGGTTAGTGCATGCGGCCCTAAGCTTCATATAAAGCTCCAATGCTCTTTCACGCTGTCCGTCCATTCGCAAGCGTATTGAACAAGAGCGAAAAGTCGTACAAGTCGCATTTTTCATTTTGCTATTTCTGTGATCCTCTGATGATCCGACCGTCTTTCCTTCAAAGTCTTCTTTTTTCTGAAATGCATCCAAGAGGTGTACTTTTGTTATAGATCAACGCTGCTCATTGCGTTTCTGATAAAAACAAATCATCATGAAATTCAAGATTTCAAGACATGAAGAGCTTGATGACACTATCAAAAGTTGTAGTTCGTGGAAAATTTCGGTATTCTAATTATGCATTTGTTCTAATCAGGAAATCGGTACGACTTTGAGTCTATCAATAGGAAGTAAAATGACTATAGATAAAACCGTGGCCGCTGGGAATCACCAGGGGATCGTACAGGAAGCTGGAAAATGCGTCTTGTACAATCTCTCGCTCCTTTCCAATATGTTTCTAGGAAAGAGTAGTGAAAGAATTTGCAGATAGTTCAACCGTGTGAGATCCACTGGAGCTTCAGAATCTGAAGCTTTTTTTGAGCTGCGTCCGCCCACCTTCCCATCAGTACTAATGCGTGCAGCCCTAAGTCAACATTTGGGGGTTCTGAATACCGATTGTATCTTGCCGTACATGCACAGACGCCTACAAGAAAAATTTAGCCAAGAACCTGGTTTGTATAAATGTTGAAGCACGAGCACGAGCACGCACAATAAGTTCATAAGTGTTAGCATAAGTGTTAGAATGCGTCTAGAGTTGCCAGTGCCAGCGCCGTTCCAGCATCGTGTTACAACCATGCTGGAACATTGCCGGCGGAGACAGGGCTGGGCACAGGTGGCTTACCGAGCAAGCTGGATATCGTTCTGGAGGTAAAAAGCAAAGGGGATATCGTTTTTGCGGAAAAGCATACCGCTGTCTTTCGATCTGCTGCCGGCACGCTGTTGGCATGCCGGCAGCATGGTCTCCCAAACAAACAAACCGCTTGTTTACAGTGAAATGAAAATGAAATGACACCAAAATGGGTGTGTAGATGGGCAATAGTGGGATAGTACTATGTGCAAAAAATTATGAAAAAGTTAGTGAATTAAAGTCGCGGCAAACTTTTTTCGGAGTTAGGTGGCTTTACAGCCACCTGGACACTTCCTTCACATAATTTTCTCACAAGTTTGACACAGCCTTGTTCTACATCAAAATCCCCACAACTGAGTTTTTGAATCTCCCAGAACCCCCTCTTTCTCGCCTAATTACAGCCCTTAAAATATTTTGTATGGCGGCGGCAAGCCTGCTCCAAGCGAAGGGTGTGCGTCGGACACAGCATGCCGCCAATTCGGAGAAGACGAACATCTTTGGCTTTTTTCGTCTGTTCGAAGTTGTTTTATGTTTTGTTCCATTGCTTTTCGTTGTTAGATTTGATCCTTTCACGATCGCGTCATAGGTGATGTCGTATTTTCCTGCCGAAGTCTACAGGGACTTCGTTTTTGAAAAATTGAAAAGCCGCCTCATGCCGAGCCCTGGTCGGAGATCGCTCGATCGGCAATCAGTACGCGTGCGTTCACGAAACTTCCGGCACGTTCCAGTACGGTGCTGAAACTGCGCTGGCAAAGCGCCGGAGCTGTGCCAGCACACGCGACTCTAAATGCAGCCTCAAAAATTGCAATCATCACTCGCTCCGTGTCAATGTGTCCATTCAAACAATTTCAAGACTTCATTGTGGAATAAAAAACTGTGTATATTTCGTTGAAAGCTCTTTCATATAGCAAAATCTATAAATCAAAAAATTATGATACGAACAACGTGTACACGTATATTCAATGATGTCATAAGTGCTTGTGAATGTTACTTCACACGTAACTCAAAGTCGATCGCATTTTTCACTTTTTCGGTCTTCTTGTCTGCTATTCGACGTACTCCAGTTCTCTGAAATATTGCTTTGAGACGATTACGAGTGATGATGAAATGGCAATTAGGAGATAAGAAAAATTCCTAAAGTCATTAGCTTGTACACTTTGAAAAGAAAAGCTAGCAGGCTTTAGTAGGCGTTCTAGGAACACAACATGAGAAGAAGATTTTTCTCTAATTGCCCTTCTTATCCAGCACTTTAGAGACTTTCGATGTATGGGGCGAGAATAAATGTTCAAAATAATTACGCACTTTACGACTGGATTCGGCTGAGTCTCTGTAGTCCACCATTGGTGCATTTGGTGAACGCCTTAATATAAGAGATTAAATGGCATTTGTCTCAAAATTATAGATTTAACTAACCATGTCTGGACTTTCTGATCGCTGAGCTGCGGATGGGTCCTCCGATACGCAAACTCATCATCTGCACTTTGCGGCCTTGACTTGCGCCCGTACTGAGGTGCCGGAGGTGGAGCAGGCGACTCCTCGGAAATCGGCCGCACGTATTTGCTTGGCTTTTGGTACTGTTCCCAAGTAGGGGATAAGCTCTGAGTTCCCGGCCTGCTGGCGAGTCCGCTTCCTGCGATTGTAGTTTAGCCACATATCATAACGACTCAATTGAGCAACTCACCGTCACGGGGAGGGCACTGGCAATATCCACCGTCTTCACCTGGTGGGCCTCTTCTACCAGGTGGCCCCCTCAAGCCGTAATCGCCTTGATCTCCAACATCGCCTATACTCCCAGCAGGTCCTTCAGGCCCTGTAAAGACGATAATTTTCTGCGCAACTCATTTGTGAGAAATATGACACTAGAAGACACACCTGGAGGAGCAGGAATTCCATTTGTTCCGGGATCACCACGAGCACCAGGAAATCCTGGAGGGCCGCGTTCTCCTTTGGGACCAGGAACGCCGATCAGCTGCACTGCATCCTGACCCGGTTCCCCAGGAATACCTTTCTTGCCGGGTCTTCCTGTTTGTCCCCTATTTCCTGGCGGACCTGGTGGGCCCGGTTCGTTAGTGCCGTCTTGGCCTGGGATTCCTGGTACACCAGGCTTGCCTTGTTCTCCTAAAGTGCTTGATTAAGCTGTTTATAATGGAGTTAGAAATCCTTACCCTGTTCACCCTGTGGACCATCTTCTCCGCGCGGACCTTGTGGACATGGCGGGCAAATCATCTCCTCTCCTAAGAGGATACCATCTATTCCCGGACGTCCCGGCTCTCCTGGGACACCATCTTCTGCTGGCAAGCCATTGATGCCCGGAGGCCCTCGGGGTCCGCGAGGACATTGTATAACCATACAATCTGAAATAAATTTGGTTTTTAGACAAACAGTATTCTCAGCTCTCATGTTACACTCTCGTCTGAGCCTTTTCTATTCAGGCACATTCTCGAGAAGGATTTGTCAAAATCGTAACTCACCACATATCCGAGGGCTATCGTAGGGGCTTGGCCTTTTCCTGTGTGGCCGAGCATATGTCCCCTCCACACCGTACTCCAGCTGGCTCTTCCTTGGTGTGCTGTAGTAGGCATCCCTCCGTATTCGCTCGACTCCCAGCGATTTGAGATCATCGTATGTTATTTGGTGCGTTTCCTGCAACAAGCGCAACCTATTCTTTCATATGTGAAGATATGACACCCTGATCAAATAAGAAGTTAATAAGAAGTTATATAGTTTGAAAAAGAATTGCATAGTCTACAACTGCAAAGAAAGCTGCACATATTGGGCGCGCAGCTATTGAGCCTACACAGAACAATTGGATACCATTATTTTTTTTAGCAACTCTAAGCGTTCTTCGCCGGTAAAATCTTGGATTCAATGCACATGTGGAGATTTTCTTCTCCTATGATAAAGCTGATTTCAAAGAAGAATTCTCAATATGTACTTTTGTTTGCTGCTCTATAACCGCGGCAAAGCTTGCATACATGTCACTTGTAATTTTGACACTCAACCATCGATGACACTGCGCTGGTCAATTATGGAAATCTATTGCTTGAGTATGTTGTGGGAAGCAATGCAGATTCGGTTTGAAAAATCTATATGGAATAAAGATTTTGTGTACGCAGACGTCTGGATGAGACAACAAGTTTAGGCCTGCTTTCAAGATATTAAAAAATTGGCTGGAGATTTGAGGTACATCCTAATTTTCGGAAGTTTTCCCTTCCAATTACTTGTTTAGAGTGATCAGCAAATCATACCACCACACCACACTCAGCATCACTTCTTGAATAACTTCATTGTGTAGAAATTGTTAAACAACTCCAGCTCAAAGGCTTGAACTAGAGGATACTTCGAAATAATGCTTACCTCAAAAGTTCGTATCATCTCCTCGTACTGAGATGCGAATGTTTCTATTCCTACAATGGTAACAGTGTACAGCAAAGAACAGCTAACAATGACTAGTAATGATATGGCTGTGGCAATTCGAGAAGCAAACTGTGTCACTGCGTCATCCTGGGCTGGAGTCATCACTGCAACGCATACATATCTTGTCAGAATACAATGTAGATGCAAAAAATTGCAAAAATTACAAGAAAAATGAGAGAATACAAGAAATGTGCACTAAGATAAATATGATAAGCATGAGAGGGTGAAAGAAGTCTATAGGTGATAGATGACTGTGGACTTAGCAGGTCACAAAAACACAAAACTTTCTCATTTTTCTAAGCAAACAAGGAAATTTGATTTTGACCATGCTTGCATGGTATGATGCCAGACTTGTTTCTAATTGTGTGAATTTGATTTCATGCATGACTTGGCATTACAAAAATGCGCCAAATTCACAAAATTTTGGTATTTCAAAAGCTAAAAATTTCACAAATTCATGCATATTGGTTGTGTTTTACCATATATCCATAATGGAATCCGTTCTATGAGGCCATTTATGAAGAGTCCACATCAATTACAAAGATTCAAATTCAGATTCTTGTACAGCTCTTTACATGTATAGTCTAAGCAAAGCATCTTCGGGATAAAGTATTAGCCAATAGGTATGCATAGGCAAAAATTCTGCGTCATGCACGGAGCACGCTTGATTACTCAAAATTTTCCCAAAATCTTTTTAGAATTACAAAGTCACACTACTACTTTCATACCGTAGACAAGAGCAATCTTTGCGCACTTAGTCTGTTTTACACATAAGCATCACAAACGAGCCTTGAACTTGTCCAAAAACATTGAAAGAAATCGGAGGGATTCCCGGAGTAGGAGAGCAAATGCATTCGCATATTAGCCAAATTCGATGAAACAAGAACTAGATTTTGATGGCTCCCGGCAGGAAATGGGACTAGCAGACATTTCTAGGCATTTTATTCCGTTACAAGCAGCCTGTCTTATTTTTACACAGCAAATGTGGATGACTGAAACCGGCTCATCCGGGAAAAAAAGCGCTCTCAGCACGGCAAATATGATCGTTGTGGCGGATGACGTACAATTTCTTTTCGAAAGGTCGTTGTGTGAATGAGGCAAATGATCTTCGAGCGACGCAAGTCGTTGGCAAATCGGTGAAAGGAGGTGAAATATTGCCGTAAGACCCAATTACAATAGTCGAGTACAACCACTAGCCTTACCAAACGAGTCTAGTTTCTGACCTCCTCTGACAACCTTGACAAACGGGCATAACGGCAAGTGAACCTTAGTGCATTCACAAAGCGGGACACGTGAACTATTGGTTCATTTTAGTAGTCAAAATTATATTGTAAAGCTAAGAAAACAGCAATTAAACAAGAAAATAGCGAATGCATAAGAAAGCACGAAGTTGTTCCAGGCAAGGATCGATATAAAAGCCGAATATGCGACGAAATTGATTGGAATGGATTCGAAATGTGGATGCGGGAGGATGCTGCGCGAATAATTGTTCGCTATTACAGTTGTTTGACCAGACTGGTTCACGTCAAGCTTAGACAACAATTTAGTTTCACTGTTATGTAGAAGTCAAATATTTCAACTGATTATGCCTGAAGAATTCGAGAAAAACAGAGCCTTGATAAAAAAATATGATACAGTAATTGCTACCAGGTATAAAACTGATACTGCTCTGATGCTTGCTTGCGTCATTCTCAAAAATTTCACTATCTACAACATTTAGAAATTATTACATTCTCTCCCAGCTCCGCACTCCTGCGGGTACAAATCTCAGGCTTTCTTAGTGAATAGGTCTTGGTAGCAATATGGAAAGGAATCCTATATTTCTGCAAATACAGTTACATCCAATTACTTAGAGATTTGTGGCTGAACTGACATCTAAAGATATGAGTGTGATTGCCATAGTATTGCCGAAACTCAGAAGACACTGATTTGAAGTAGATGAATGCGTTGCAGAACAAGGTGCTGTATTAATCCCTTCAGTGTTCAATTTGAATTCGCAAGGAGAGTTAATGCTTGCGCAGAGATTGTCACTGAGTTGCAAGTATGTATGGGGCGTAGAGCTATTGATGAGTTTGAAACATCGTTTTTTTATGACAAAGTTTGAGATTTTAGAACAATAACTAGCGACATATGGAGAAAACTGTAAGCTGCTACATCACATGACTCAGGTTCAAAGTGAGTAAAAAAAGATGAAAAAATTGAAAGGAAATTGACAAAAATGAAAAAATGAATGGATAAATGGCTGAATGCAAATTCTTCCTTTATCGCTTGAAACATCAGTGCAGGGTAAAGTATTTCTTGAGACTCAAGTTAACACGTTGACGACCGAGCCATTTTTGACCACCTCAAAATGGACTGATGATCTACGCCTGCGGTTTGGACTGTTTGACACCTACTGCAATGCCGTGTGTTCTATATGACAATCAGGCCACCAGTGTTACCACTGCATAGAAGTTACCTGAGGACTTTTCGTTTACACATGATAAATTGATGCACGAAAGTGCTAAAAGGTGGTCTGGGCGTGCATACGCGCGGATGCACACGGTCGTCAACGTGTTAAACATGGTATAAGAGAAGGCTTTCATTAGACTTTTATAGTAGTAAATCGTCGTTTTCCAGCGACGACATATCAAAACCTTGGATTCCCTGTGTGGAACCGATGTCGAAAAATTGCATTCACTGTAATAAGATCGCATACAAGCCTTTGATGCCTGTTACTGCGTGGAAGAATCATGGAGGCCAGTGGCGGTCCGAGGGGGGAAGGCGGGAGAATGGGTCGCGAAATTTTTGAAAATTACCTGTATGGGTTATAAAAATGTGCATGGGGACCCGCAAAAATTTTGAGAAGCACCCCAAAAATTTTTTCGGAGTGCGTGGCTGACGCCACGCACCTTCATTTGAAAGATTTTTTTGTCGCCCCCCCCTCCCCCGGTCCGAAATCCTGGGACCGCCACTGATGGAGGTATATTGAGGATTCATCCTTTTCAGGGGCACTTCCTGACTGGATCGGACTTCTGAGTGCTAGAATATCAGATATATACGAGTTCACTCATCCGCCTTGTCAAAACGACGAGGAGAACCTCTCAGAACTTGCTCGCTCTTCAGGCAAGCATAGCTCCAGTGAAACGTATACGGCCTAGTAGATTTTTGCTTGATGTGTGCTTATGGTGCCGGAAGTTTGCAGTATGATTCGCGTGGAACAGATAAAGGTTAGTGCAAGACGAAGACGCAGAAGCAATATAAGTTGAGCGAGCGCGAATTCGACGCGCGCGTATCTTCATCGTTGTAATCCCTGCGCCTCATGCGTTCTGCGGCCAACATAGCCGCGTTCGCGGCCAAAGGTATTGCGCCTTCGTCATGCAGTAGCCTATAGCTTCGCATGTAAAGCAGGTTAATTACTTGCGCGCAGATTGCCAGCATTTCAGGCGTAGCTTTTTATTCAAGCGCACAATCACCGCAAAGTCCCGGGACCACAAGCGCACTATATTAAGCGGAATGTCTACTGGACTGTACGTTGCTCTCTGAAATAGTTATAGAATTAGTAGGAGCTGCAATTTGTTTTGACCAAGTATAATGGTTAAATTAGTGGTTTATTCAGAAAGGTACTCAAATCGCTTGCTTCCAAGAAACATAAAATCTGTGCTTATCCATAGTATGACTAGCATTTCCTTTAGTGTGGAATATTTTAGCTGCAGCAATTGGTAAAAGCAATCCGATCATTTTCCTTCATATCTGGGTTCGCTAGTAAGAAATGCGCAAAAAAACACTGCTTGATCTGAGCGAGGAAATGGATTTATAACATCAGGAAATGATAAGTTACTATCGGAAACACAATTACGTTACGGATCAATATTCTTTTCGATAAACTCAGTAATTTCTTTTCTTCAAAGTCTTGCTTAAAATAGCGCAGTTCTTAATTCGTATATTGGGGAAGCGTGATTCATAGTGTTACACATTATACTCATTTCTTTAACTCAGAGATTACGTAGCAAGTTCTGCTCCGTATATGCGCTAAATGCTAAGTGCAGAGATGTCATTTACATGTACGCTCACAAAAGAGACGTCATTTTTATAAAGAACGTCAACGCTAGTTAGTTATAAGCTGGTCGCGTTATTATTGGCTTTACGGAAATTAAACATCTATGTTGCACTTGAATGGCTACCGTATATTCAATTCATGTTGTCTCAAAAATAGAAAATTATGCTCTTAATGTCAACATGCATTGACTGATAAATAGCTGTGTGTGTACAACATGCCTTTTTAAAAGCCGCTCTGAAAGTTCTAATGTCAGAGCCCGGAGTTTGCGCCATCCATAAGAATCTGCGAGGTTACGAATTCAGGGCATCAGATCCTCATACTTTATGCAAAAGTCGATTACCAAGATGTTTTTGTAGTAGAAAAACGCTAGCAACACTTTATCCAGGTACATGCAGTCTAAGTATTCTCGTACAAACTTGTCACTTAGACACAACTTCATTCGTCAGAAAAGCCGTACGATCTTGGCTAAGTTTTTCTTTCGCAATGAAACTATTTGATCTCGTCCGATTACTGTTCTACCTTCGAATCTATAAAAAGGCACCTTTATTCGTCCATCATCAGTCTATCTGTTCACATGAGAGAGTTCTGCAAGAGATGTGTAAATCATTGATTTAACGTTCAGGCAGTTATGGTCATTTGTGTTTGTTTTTCTTCACATCAAAGCTCTATGCATTTTATACTTTGAGTAGTCGGTCTCTCACCAAAACTCATTGCTCACCCCTGCCGGCACATTTGACTGCTTCTGTTGCGATTGGCAAGAAAGAAAAAATGAAAGCACCTATACTACCAAAAAAATATTATTTCCCTCAACAAACCTATAAATCTAAGGAGGAGTTAATTTTTATTACATTTTTCTGCAATTTTAGCTTTATTCCTAAATCTCTTCCGCAACGACAATCCATAGAGTTCCTTCTGCTTTTTAAATTAGAAATTATTCAAATTAAGTTAATTTAAATTAAATTATCATTTTGGAAAATTAAATTCAATAGTAATCTTCTACTTCATTGGAACCACTGCAAATCCAACAATCAGATTTAACCCAAAAAAGGGATCACCAATAATACAGCAGATAAATAATGTGCAAAAAACCAAATAAAGTAGTTATATTTCATGTGGGGACGTTCCAATCGTGCCCTCATCACCGATGTGGAACTGAAAACAATCAGATAATTCATTTTGCTAAATTTTGGCCTAATCCCAGTGCTACGCTATACGTCGTCGCAGTCCCACTTGAAACGTTGCAAAATTGCGCAGTGTGTTTGATAGAGCAATAAAAGTGAAACCTAAAAGTGACAATGACCTTTCAAACCACATCGTTCCAAAACTTACCTTAATTCAAGATTGCTTGCCAAAAACTGCTGTTTCACCACATCACCTTCACTCTTCTGATCTTTTCATGCCTCTTAACAACCTAACTATGTGCATAAGGAACTAAAATGTGCGGTTCTGCTTGAGAAAAATGTATTTGGTCACTGTCGACAGTGGAACTCCTCTAAAAATACCGAGTTAGTGCTTTCTGAGAGGATGACAGGAAGAGCGAATTTGTATAAAGAGAAATAGACGTCAGCTCCAAAGACACCGTAATTCATGATTTCACAGGATCCTTCAGCCGCTTATTCCTATTCACTGAGCCCCGACTGAGATTTGAGATATTAAGAGACAAATCGAAAAAGGTGGCCACTGCTGTAACTGCGCAATGGCCACCCCGTGAAAAGCTGCGTTGACCTCATTAAACCAGGTCGATTCTATTCAGGACCGCACTTCCGTTGCACCCTTCTGTGATTGGTGTTTTTCGCGATGCACTGTAACGCTATGTAACTCCATAAAACCATGTCATAACTGCCTGAACTAGTTTCGCTTTACTTTAACTTGCAAACCTTGAATGCGATGCGACCAATATTTAAGATGAAGAAGTACCACGCATCGCATAATGCAGGTGTTTATTGAATGTTTTTGACGTCACAATTTTTGTTGAACCTTGAATTCCGAATAATCACGTATGGCGCAAAAATTTGTGATTTTCGAAATTTCTCTCACACTTTTCTGTACGCTGCTATATTCCTTCTTGTCTCCTCTGTCACGAGATCCCGGCATTCAGACTATTGCTCTGATTTCCTTACTGCTAGTTCATCGCATCCCATGTCCAGAGGAAAGAGCAAGTTTGTCACTGGAACTGTGCCCATTGGCATGCTTCTTCTTTCCAGTGGACGTGTGTGTTTGCTGGTATTTTCTTCTAGTGCTCGGACTTCCAATCTTGGTTGTTCAGACCATCATTATTCTATTTTCTCATACACCTGCGCACATGATTTTGTAGAACTAGCGGTATATCCAAAATTTCTATGATGCTTCATTTCGGAGCTTTTCTCGTTTTTAGTCATTACTTAAGACTTTGGATGAATTCTGGCTTACAAATTGCTCGTACTCATGAACTTCGCTGTTTTACTTTATCATAAGTATTATTCGAAAGTCTGTCATTCTTCTACATAGTGAAAGACATTGCGCAGCAACGAGTTCTGTATTTATCCCCGAAATATCCCCAACTATAGTCATGTCTTTTTTTCCTCACAGCTGTTGAGTTTCCACAGTTTGCTTTTCCATAACTTTCGTAAACAGTTCTGGAGCACAATAGTGATGCAATTCGTATAGATTTCTGTTCCACATACCCCTATGCACCCTGCTGCACTCTGCTGTCAAGGCAATAGAGAATTACTGCAATATACATCACTCATATCGTTTCACTTAGCGTTCAGAATCTCACCCCCGACAGTCGCTTCAAATCGTTTTCGTGACCTCTGCAACACCAGGGAGACTCGGTAAAGAAAGTTATCTTAAAGCGCGCACAAAATGTATCTCTATCTGGATTGTGTACTTACCGGAATCTTCGAACAGTCAGCACTCTCTGGACTATTTTTTTCTACATAGAAAGAGCAAGTGGAATCATCCCTTCGTTGAAAGAAGGCTCACAAGGCTGTATATTAAAGGCAGCGTCCGACAAAATCTCGCTGTCCAGTTTTTCACCTATTCGGAACCTTTTCACCATAAGAAACCCATAAACCTGAGCTTTTCTGCTCATGAAAATAGCAAAAATGAGTTTTTTTCCGAGCTTTCCAGGCGCCTTCAGTGGAAATACGCGAAGTCTTTCGCACCTCGCCTCCCTCGCTTCGGGCCCCGCCCACTTACACGTATTTCCCACGGAATGCGAACCTTTAAAGCTTCGAAAAAGTCTCGTTTTTGCCCTTTTCAAGTGCTGAAAAGCTCAGGTATGGGTTCCTCATGGAGGAAAGGTTCGGAATAGGTGAAAAGCTGAATAGCGAAATTTTGCCGAGACGCTGCTTTTAACGATCCCTTATCGAACGCTTTTCGTGCTAAACGTAACGCCGGGCGCCACTGCTTGATCGGGCGCTCATTTCCAACGGTAGAACCGCGCCTGAGCTGTGTTGGAGATCAAATATCGTATCAGGACCTTCTGGCGTCTAGGAATTCTGAGAAGGACCTTCCTTGGTTTTACGAAAGATGACAACCCAATTTTGAGTTATTCTTAAAGCCAATCAATCCACGGTGAACGATATCGGAGAAAGGGACAACAACAGGGGAACTTGGGAAAAGCAAAGAAAAGCGAGAAAAGGTTTTTTTCCTTGATACTCAGAGCCATAGCCAAAGCGTTAAAAACTAGCTTTATTGCCTTGCATATACTAGTATTTGAGGATCAAGCTGAAGTATAGATTCATGTGAAAAATTTGATGATTCTCTGACTAAGATGAAAAATTATGACCTTTTTTTTGCCACCTCAACTGCTCGCCGGGTGCCATACTGTGCTACCAAGTTTGGTCCCCTATTGTTATACGCCCGAACAACTCATTTTTCATCTTTTTAATTGATGACGATAAGTTCCGCGCTGGCGAAATGTAAGTATTGGCACAATCATGGACTGTTTTCAGACTGCTGTGGATGTGTGGGACTGTATACAATATACTTTCTGCTTTTACCCAGGCATACGATATCCAGTTTTCCCATGGCTGTGCCTAGCTCTTTTCATACTTTGGTAAAAAACTGACTTATCATGTAAATTTGTTGATTTTGATTCTGTTTCTTAAGTTTCAAAAGTCATTCTTCTAAAATTCTTATCTATGGAGCTATAATAGGAAGTACCACTGCACCCAACTACAGAGGAATATAGTCGAACAATGCGGTGTAAGGCTCTTTATCGAGAATTCGTTACCTGATGCGGCGAACATGACTGTTGATTACGTCTAACCAAAGGGCATATGACCTACAACGTCACATAGTTATCACAAAGGTAACATTAAAAGGAAAAGGGACATTGTGCTCTCATGCATACATCTTCCACAGATGAGAATGACTGTAACTGTAGTTCTATCTCCTGTATTCCTGATTGTGAGATGCGACTTGTTCTGAATTACGCTCACACTTTTTAAAGGGAAGTTATATATCTTATACGATAAAACACCAGAGTGTATGAATAGAATCGCGCATATCACGTGCGAAGCACTCATTTCCATTATAAGCTTACGATTGCGTATGCTTCACCTTTGTTTGGCATGACTGAAGATCACGCTGGTATCGTTGATTCGTTTGACTGCACGGACTGCTCAAAGCTGCCCATGCGCGACGCGGCTAAAATGTTGCGAGAGCGCGTTTTGTACAATGGCGAATTGTACTGGGGCAAGTGTTTTACCTCCAGGTGCGTGCTCCGCAGTGATGTCCAGTCCGTGCGGTCAACGAATCGATATATGAATATATTCAGCATGTATATATACAGATACTTCAGGATGTGCACACTCTCTGATCTTTCGTAGCTCTCCTTAACGTCTTTCGCCAAACTTTGAGTATCAGGGATACTTGGTGGCCGCGGTATTTCGATATGTGACATATGTCATGACATTCGCCTTGGAACGATGATCTTAAAACCGTCGTTATCTGTAGAACAAATTCTGGAAAACCCGTGTTTCCCCTCATCTGACGTGTTTGCACTAGAGTATGAGTAATCTCCATATGTTCTAAAGGTCTCGAATGGTCTTGTGATTAGCGCTGAATTATTGCACAATGGGTGCCCGTTTGATCTCGGTTGGTGCAAATACTTTTGCGTTAGCGCTTTTACAAGCGCTAATTCTTCTTGGAAAAGCGTTCTGTAGCTAACGAAGATGATTTCGAGATCAGCGTTTCCAGTCAAGCATTTTGATGTATAACATGTTCCAAAAGGCCACGGCCACCAGTCATCCTTCCCTTGTTAGATTTGCCGTATGGAGCATCTCCGATCGCTCTTCATTACTGTAAGCTTACGGCAGGTACTTCAAAAAAGTTTTCAGGCCATTGAGGGCCGCATTTTGTCTCAGAACGAAAACCAAACAAGCCAAAAACTCTTGTGCCAGATTAATCAAAGTTGTTGATGAAATTTGCACTTCACTGTATTTCTTTCTCAAGTTAGTGCAGGTCAGGGCCCGGTACGAGTCGGTTTCTAGGGTTTCTGAAAACGAAGTCTCCCCTGACTTACGGAAGTTTTACGAAGTCCCTTTTGACCTACCTGCTTCGAAGAAGATGAAAACAAGAAAAAATTACTAGTTTGAAAGAAAAGACGTAAGAAAAGAGCGAAAATCCAAATTGGAGCTGAATACTACGCATGTACAAGACTTTGGCATTAGAGCGCGATATTTAACAAAGCGAGAATAAATGAAGGCAAAAAACAAAGGAAAGGCAATGATATGAAAATGTCTTCATGCTCAGGGATAGATTTTTGACCGGGGAATCCGTCCATGCTAAAAAGATCCGAAACTTATGTGAAGTGACGAAAATATATGCTCCAGACGATCTCAGATCGTCTGGTGGCCGTCTGGAGACGATCTAATTTTGAAAAAGGTATTACTTCACAGAAGTTTTTAAATCTTTTTACATAAAAGTTTCGCAAATAATTTTCTATACATATAGTTCAATTTTGGTGTCATATGCTTCTGTAGGCGCTGTAAACAAGCAAATTGTTTATTTAAGCCTTGCTTTCAAATCGCGCGCACTTTTCGCCATGCACGATAGAGCATGTCAATCGTGTGATAATCTGTCCGAAAAGCTTGCGTTCGACTAAATGGCGCTCATTCTTGGTGCTTGGCCCCTATTCGTCAGAAACGATATCTCCTTTGCTGTTTGCTTCAAAAACGAAGTCCAGCCTGCTTCCAGACGATCTGTGCCGGGCCCTGGTGCAGGTCCATAACAACCGTTCTTGCAGTGTTTGTCAGAAATGCGATCACAACATTAGAAAACCCAAAAACTCAGGGAAAGTGAGATGTAGTTAGATCAGCATGCGTGAAAACCCTACTACGTAATTTTCCAGATCTTTTGAAAATTCTATCAGACCGCTTATCTCACAATGCGTTTGTATGCCGGAAATTCCTACCCTAACACTACTACACACTGTAAATCCTAAAGAATAGCTCTATAGATTGGCGAAAGGCACTGAAGCAAGAAAGCTATCAACGACCAAATAGTGTGCTTATTTTTTGGGACGCTTTCATATTCAATTTGCATGATATGAAAAGGGTTTGGTACGAGGTAGCGGCTGGAGATTTTGAAGACAAAACACTTGTGACTTTGCAAAAGAAAATACCTTTGAGTACTGATTTGAATCTTCGCTGCAAAACAACATGTATAGTTGATTCGTTGAGCGCACGGACTGTATATCACTACGGAGCGCGCGCCGCGATGTAAAACGCTACCCCCGGTACAAATTCGCCATTGTACAAGAGTGTTCTCGCGATTCAGCCGCGCCGCGCACGGTCCGCAGCGTTTGAGCAGTCTGTGCGGTCAACGAATCGACGATAGAGTGGACGGAAGGTTAGAAAAAGCTGGAAGGGAGGAAAGACAGCGAGAGGAAGAAAAACAGAATGGTGTCCAAGCCGTAGCAAGGCGGGGTGAAATGGCTT